GGCTTTTTCTTTAGGGTTTAGGGTTTAGGGTTTAGGGTTAAGGGTTTAGGGTTTAGGGTTTAGGGTTTAGGGTTTAGGCCCCCAGAATTTTACCAAGAGCTGGAAGATCGAGAGGGCTTGCAGGGTGTTGTTTTGTTTTGGGATTTGGGGTTTTTTGGGGTTTGGGGATTTTGGGGTTTCGGGGTTTAGGGGTTTGAGGGTTTAGGGGTTTAGGGGTTTCGGGGTTTCGGGGTTTAGGGGTTTAGGGTTTGGGCAGTCGCTGCTACAAGAGCGGAACAAGTACGTTAAGTTGCGGGTGTATTGTCACAGTATCGGGTTCTGTAGCATGGGACATCACTCCCCAAGACGACAACCGACATTTGGTACCGGTAGGCAGCCTTGACCAGAATCGGGCTGAGGTTCGGCAACCGACGAAACAACAGAGCAACAACCAAAACAAGAACCGCGACGACAACGACGACGACGACGACGACCACCACCACCACAACCACCACAACCGGAGGTATGTGAAGTCCTTCCACCTGCTGTCGAGGCACTCCGGGCGGTGCCCTTGGCCTCACCCTCAGCCCACCTTAGGCGGAGGTGGATCGCTTGTCAGAGCTGGCTTTTGTTAAGGTTCACAGGTTAGGTTAGGGTTTAGGGTTTAGGGTTTAGGGTTCATAGAAGCCGTTTTGATTGACACATAATCCTAAACCCTAACACTAAGCCCTAAACCCGGGCCGTACAATACAATGAGGCCTGCTTGTGGGTCTTGGTAGGAAGGCCTTAGGGGATGCATGGTGGTCTCTTTCTGCGCTTCTGAAGATGATCTCGAGGGGATGGGACGTCCGCTTCATGGTCGATGGGCTCTGTAAACCCTCAACCCTATACCATCTTGTGTTTAAGGTTTAGGGCACTGGGTTCATGGCTTCAAGTGTTTTTCATGACCTTCATCAGGATCTTGAATTTTCGCCCCTGTGACTGCGCTTTAGTATGACATGATGAAGCTAGCTAGTGCTGTTAGAGGGTTAGGGTTTAGGGATTAACGATGAGGAGTTCCTGCATGCAGCAGTGTAGATAAATAAAGCATGACAGTCAAAAGCACGATCCTACACCACTTTCAGGTATTTTTCTCTCCAGTGATCTTGATCCGCGTCACCAGCCTTAAACCCCTATAGCGCCCCTTAAACCCTAAACCCTAGACCCTAAACCCTTATAAACCCTAAACCCTTAGAGGGGAATCCTAAACCCTACCCGAAAGGCCTGAGGATGCTTGTCCTCGCACGAGAATAAGGGTTTAGGGCTTAGGGTTTAGGGTTTAGGGTTTGGGCGTGTTGTCGTCGTCAGAAGGCAGCCTGGGCATCTGATTTGGGAATCTGTAAAAAGTCATCCACACACAAACTCTGTTAGCTCTAGCCCGAAGCCCAAAACCAAAAACCATGCAACTCCTCGCAACAACCCTAAACCCTAAACCCTAAACCTTAAACCCTAAACCCTAAACCCTTAACCCTCCACCGACTCCATGCTAGAGAACCTGATTTGAACCCTGGTTTTCCGAGGTGCTTCATCATCTGCATCTTTACCGCCTGCCAAAGCCAACTCAGGTTTCGGCTTTAGAGTTCGGGGTTTAGGGTTTAGGGGTTAGGGTTTAGGGTTTAGGATTTAGGGTTTAAGGCTTCAGGATTTAGGGGTTCTGCCCGCTGGGCCGTGGTAGAATTGAAGAGGAGACTGCGTAAGAAGTGTATAATACTTGTTGGTAAAACGGATATAACTAATAAGTAAACTATGATATCCCCAGACTCAGCCCCTCTGACTACCCTACTTAGGGTTACCCTATGTAAATACCTGTGACCTTATAGCGGTCCCCTATTTAAGAATATCCCAATGAGCAAAATTCGAGCCCGGCTTGCGAACTGCGTACCTTGGTCCACGATCTTGGCCTTCAACCTCTGAAACCTAAACCCTAAACCCCTAAACCCTAAACCCTAAAACCTGAACCCTCAACCCTAACCCTAACCCTAACCCTGAAGCCTAAACCCTAAACCCTAAACCCCAAAACCTCCACCCCAGCCCCCCGCACCCCCATGCTTGATATCGGACCCTCGACATCCAAAGCCACACTTCTCCAAATCAGCCAGACCCCTTCAGCAGGGGATTCTTCGAAACAAAAACCCCCACACTTGAGGGTCCTCAAATAGGGATCCCACTGCCAAAGCCCTATACGAACTATGCGTAATCTCCTCCTGCCCAAAACACCAAAGCAGAAAAAGCACCTAAACATCCAATTCTACAACCTAGTGAATTGCAGCGAAACCCGAAGGTACAAACGTGAAAACCCCGGCCGTACACGGACCCTTAACCTCATAGAACCCTCAACATGAAAAAAGCGACGTAAAGCCCCTTGTAGTATCATACAATCTAAAACCTCTACTACACTACAATCAGACACTTTGCCACAACTACGAAACCCTAAACCCTAAACCCTAAGACCCTAAGACCCTAAAGCCCTAAACCCAAAACCCCAAACCCTGAACCCTGAACCCCTTAACCCTAATGCGCAGTCAACAGCAAACCCGCGGAGCCCTTCTACTGTCGACCTCGTGGCGTCTAGCTCGACTCTTCACCGCCTGCACCCGGGCTTTTCAACCTAGACCGTAAATCCTAAACCCTAAACCCTGAACCGTAAGCCTTGAATCCTTAACCCTAGACCTTAAACCCTGAACCCTAAACCCAAAGCCCTAAACCCTTAACTCTACACCCTAAACCCTGAACCGAAAACAGTTCGCGGGCGTTGGGGGGTTTTACGGCTTCGGTAAAGGTTTCCAAGAGTTCCAGGCTCCTTCACCGGTCGTTTAAAAAGCACAACTGAGGAGAGGGTTTAGTAGGTTTAGGGTTTAGGGTTTAGGGTGTAGAGCTTACGGCTTGGAGCATAGTGGGATGTAGGGTTTAGGAGGGTTTAGGGTTTAGGGTGTGCTTGAATAGAGTTCCATAGAGATTTTAGGCAACGCTTGCGGGTTCCGAGGTTGTTTAGGGGCAGTTGTTGTAAGGGTTGTTCCGTGGGTTCGATTTTTCGCTGTAGTGGTTCTCTTGATAGTTGGGCCTAGCGGCTTTAGGGTGCAGCGCTTAAGGTCTACGAAAGCAGGCTTAAAATGACTCGGGTGTAGGGATGAAGGACGTTCTCCTGGGTTCGATCTCATGCTGCTTGAGGCTAAAGCAGAAAGGAAGATCAAATGGGCAAAAGCTGTCTCTTCCCCAAAGCCTGTCGACATATAGGGAACAGCATTAAATAGTAAGTGCTCTAAGCCGCTCATTTTGTGACATGTTCCGCAGGTTCGGGGGTTAGGGCAAGGGGGTTGAAAGCATGGGGCTCCGGGACAAAAGAGTTCAGGATTCTGTGTTTGAGGCTAAGGTTTCAGGTAGAGCGACGAGGCAACAAGATACTGTAACATAAGAGTGTAGACATGAAATCAACCCTTGTAGAACCCCTGAAAAGGCCCTTATACAGAACTCGATACATCCCTGATACAGCTGTTTCAGTGTGCCGATTCGTGCTGTACCACGGGCCACCACCCTTGAATACACTAAATCGACCCCGAAAGCTAAACCCCGAACTTAGAGTGTATGGGTATAGGACTGATTTAATGCTTGGGGCTTACAGTGTTTGTGCAATCTGGCTGCTAAGCCGTAAACCCTAAACCCTAAACTCTACACCCGAACCTCCTACAGACCTAAACCCTCAACCAAAGCTTTAAACTGCCCGATGGCATCACTGTAAGCCCCAAAGGCCTATATCACAAACCCCAAAACCCAAAAGCCCCTAGTGCTGGATCCCTGTAAAACTCTTCAAGCCCTCCCCATGAAAACGCCACAAACCCTTATATAGAACTCTAAACCCTAAACCCTTCTGAACCCCTTATCACCCTTATAAAGTAGGCCCTAATCCCGTACAAAGCCCCAGTCCTTGGCGAAGTCAGACCAATGCTTCCAACAGAGGGCTGCGGTGCCCTGCAGGCGCAAAGAATCTGAGGCTACGGGTTTAGGTTTAGGGTTTAGGGTTTGGGGTTTAGGGTTTGGGGTTTAGGGTTTAGGGTTTGCCGTAGAGAGGCGCATAGCGGAAGTATTTAGCGACAGTGTAGTTTCGAGTGCATCGTAGTTTGACGATTCGCTGTTGGAGCTTGAAACCACCCAAACCTCTTCCTTTTAGGGTTTAGCTCTAAACTCATTCCATGGTTTTCTTCTTTACTTGAAGCTCGTTCATGCAGCAAGAGCAGTGCAGGGCAAGGGCAGGAAGTCAGGCAGGTGTCAAGCACGCAAACAGGGCAGGGCCAGGCGTGGCAGGGAGGGGGGGGCCAACCACGCCAGGGGTAGCTCTCTGCTCGCTGCAGGCTTCGGGGGCCCTTTTTTCCGAGCTGTGGGGCCAACGACCCTTCGGCTTGCGCCATTGAGGTCGAGGGGCATAGGCGCCGCCCCCAACTGTAGGGGGGCGGCCGAGGCCTTGCGTTTAGGGTTTAGGGTTTGGGTTTGGGTTTAGGGTTTGGTGTTTGGGGTTTAGCGTTTGGAGTTTC